TAAGTATTTAATTGCATTTCTACAGGTCATTGGATTCCAGCAAGTATGTAAATCAAACAGTCTCTCATCTGCATTGCAAATTGCTTCAGATGGAATAGAATTTTGATCAAATACATATATAGATCCTGCCCAGCTCTCCAAAAATTTCTTTATATTTCTGCTAATTGGGTTCTAAAGGATTTGCAATGTTGTTTTATGAAAAACTAGACCTGACTGCCAGAGCCACGCCCCCTATAAATCACTGTGACATTTTATTACTAAGTAATGCATTGAACCAGCTTTTACACTGCAACTGTGTGGAGTACTAAAATCTATAAGTTGATTCGTTTTCTAATTCGCAATCCCTAAACACACTAAACGCTACACGGCATTTCTACTGCTGATCTCAGAAATGAAAAAATATAATGCACAAAAATCCATTAGAACTACGGAACATGATAACATGCACCTACTCATGTATGTTCAAGAGTCTTTAAAATTATCTTTACTCTCAGATGATGTAAAGGCATGTGATAAAGTACCGTAAATTACTGATCTTTTTAACATATTTAAACATTAGATCATGATTCAAACAATGCCTACGGATAAAAGGTGATGCGCTTGAATAAAACCAAAAGGAACATTTGCCTTTTTAGTATTTTTTCAGCAAAAATATCAATTGATTTAATGGTGTACAGTGAAAAAAGTAAGTACTCCCTTGGGCCCCATTCACACTGCGCGATTCGCAAATTGCGCGTTTATCACGGGATTTGCATTTTGCGCGATTTGTCATGCGTTATCGCGCAAATGCTTGCATTCAGCAAGCTGGAATCGTGACAAAATCCGCTCCAAAAAGGGTCCTGCTGTAGCGACGCACGACCCGCGACAGCAGGACCCTTTGCCCCATTGCCAAGCATTGAAGAGCGATATCGCGCGGTAAATAGCCGCGATATCGTGGGAATTACCGTGCGATAAATCGCTCAATGTGAACGGGGCCTTAGTCTCAGATGCCGGTATTGCCCTCTTTAGCAGAAATAACCGGTTGTAGGCGTTTTGCAGAACTGTCCACCAGTGTCTGACCACATATTTAGACCAATCCTCCATATTGAATGTATTCAGTTACAGGATGTTTGTGGGTTCCCCTGTATGAACTGCCCATTTCCCCCCTCAACATGGCAATGGGATTCAAATCAGTGCTTTGAGAGAAAACTAGGAGGGGAAAAAAAAAAACTTGGCTTTTGCTGGAGAAAATGCTGGCTCCCTTCAGCGCTGGTGAAGTAACCAAAACCCTAGGAATTTAATTAAATAATCTTCACTGAAAGGGAGAACCATCATTCAAACTGGCTGATCCTACCCTTCACCAAAGATCATGTGACTAGCACTGGAGAAAAGCTAGAAAAGTATTCCAAGCATTCTAATACTTACCTAACACAACAAGACTGTTAATGTAGCTTCAGGTTAATATTTAAAATACAACTAGTCAAAGCAAAATTACATATATAATGCAGTCAATGGTAATACAACAGCATGGAAGAGTGACATCCCTCATTTTGCAGTAAAATCGCTGCAATGTTGGCATCATGTGGGCAGGGTAGGGTAGTTTTGGATGGAAAGGGCTCCATTAAGATGGGGCGTTCTGGGATTCTCGTGGCTAGATCCTACAGATCCCAGGTGTCCCGCTCAGGTGCGGCGGCTGTACCCATTTAAGTAAATGACAAGAGGATAGCGAGTGCATCCGTCAGTGGCAGCATGCATGTAATTATACATGGTACATGCGATTTAGGATAGACTGTCGATAATTCTGCCTCATTTCCTTCTACCTTTTACAATAGTGTACACCTATGCCCAGATTTTAGGGGACATACAAGAAGATATAGTCATGACTCGACCTTAAAGTGTGCTTCCACGTTCGCAGCCAAATTGGGACACCTATTTTATATTTGTTACATGTTACCGTTCGCAGCCAAATTGGGACACCTATTTTATATTTGTTACATGTTACCATTCACATGGCATAGGATAAAACAGGTTAGGGTTTCTTGGCTCAAGGGTTAAAATTTCTACTTGCTTTTAGGGGTGAGGGGCGAGTGCTTTTTTAACCCTGGCTGTAACGTGTTGGCTCATTTCTTTTATAATATGTAAAGTAGATTTAAACAATGCCTGCCCTAACAAAGGGTTAAAGGATTACAACCCAGGCTTCTGCATTGTGTATTAAGTTGTGTACGAAGTCAATGAGAGAAACATAATTCTCACATTTCACTCCTAAGTCTTTCTAGAAGGACAGATCACTGTGAAGGTGCTCAGAAAAACCTTGATCTGGCAATCTTGTGTGCTGCAACCAAAATGTAAGAAATATATATTTTTTTGGGTATGCTGCGTGTATAGAGCCACAACCATATAGAGGGGTTTTCTCGAATTTGACTGCAAAAGTGGAAATACACTTTAAAGTGAGCGGTCTAAAGGCAAAAAAACAATAAAGTACATAGTTAGTTAATCAGGTTGAAAGTCCATCAAGTTCAAAGTACAGCATCTAACCCTTTTCTCACTGGACCCAATTAACAGCGACTAGAGAAAAACTTCCTGGTCTCTACAGCACTAACACCTGTCACAAAAAAATAGCTGTAACTTATTTAGAAATCAAGTCCTACGTGCTCACAGATATTATATGACAGCTGAACATTAGAAAAAAGTTCCATCAGTAGAATGATGCCTTTTTATCACGCACACAACAGCAAAAACAAAGATAAAAAAATAAATGAGTACAAGCATAAACTGAAGAACCCCTGTAGCCGTGCTTGTTTTAGGGCTTGTTCACACTATGTCCAGACCAGAACAGTTTGTTACCGGACCAAGAAAGCATCCCAGTGTATCCCTAGGGTATTTCTGGGCTCTGTTCACACCAGCGCAGTCCGTTTCGGTCCAGAGAACAAAAATACTGCTGGTCTCATTTTCTCTGTTCTGGAATGCATTGCAACTCATGGAAATGCATAAAAATGCATTGGAACGCCATTGGGCTGCACCTGAAAACCCATTTTAAGCTAAAAAAAAACCCTATGCAACAATAGCGGCAAAAATGCACTACAGACATGCTCTAGATCTGGTCCAGGCATGGTGTGAAGATGCCCTGAGGACAATAGGCTAGGTGGAGCTTGGATGAGAACTTTTTCAGCCAAAGATGTCTGCAACAAATGTATTAATTTGTAGATACATGAATACATGCATACACTGAAGCACCCGTGTAGCAGTTCTTGTTTTAGGACAATAGTCCATGTAGAACTTGAACGTTAACTTTTTCACCCAAAGATGTTTGCAACAATTTTTTTTTTATACAGCAAACAGTAGTGCATGCTTGCAAACCTGCAACACAATTTGCATTTCTAAAAGGTCTCCCAGCTGCTGTTCAGGACTTGGGTTTCAGCATGATCCTATTGGCTTTTAGCTTTGCTGTCTTAACAGCTTGGAGGACATGAGCTTTCCACACTTCCACCCTATTATGTCGCCATGCTGCATAATGGGCGGTAAATATTACTGATTAGAACAGTGTGACATTTTCAGTCTTGTGTGGGCTAGACTTGTCCTCTTACACACCCCGGTTCTTGCAAAGAATACAAGTTGTTTCCACACTTCCTGTGAATTAAAGATTACATAACATCCCTCAGATGGTAGCACCCTTTCATCACCTCCTATGAATGCTGAAGAACAGATTAGGAAACATATGATATGGATAATAAAAATTATAGATAATGCAAAAGGTAACATAGATTTGCAAGTATGCAATGATGCACAATTTTTAAGTTGCAATTACAGAGTGTCTACATTAAAGGAGAACTATGGGGTTATATATTTTTTTTTATTAATGCATTCAGTCCTTCCCCTCTGTCATCAGCGATCCACGATCATTTTAGTATGTCGGTGTCAGCAGGGAGAGAGAGAGAGAGAGAGAGGGGGGGGGAAGGATCTGGCACACGGGGACGTGCAGGTAAGGAGAGAGCTGCTGCGCATGTCCATATATTCGTGGATGCGCAGCAGCTCTCAAGAATCACTGTCAGTCATCAGTGGGGAGGATCCCGTCAGATACGTCGGGATGTCTTCTCATTGCGGCGCTTAGCCCCGCCCACAACCTTAAATAAGGGTTTACAGCCTTACTGTGCATTTTGGCTAATTAGAGTAAATTACATTATTTACTTATTTAGCCTAAGGAATGCATGAATAAAAAAAGATAGATAAAGCCGACAGCCGGCTCTACAAGTTTAAACAGACTCCCGGCGGCAAAAGTCGCCGGGAGTCTGTTTAAACAGCCCCGATGCTGGCGACGTACACTGTATGTCGTCAGTCACGAAGGGGTTAAAGGGAAAAAACAAGTAAAGCAGGAAGTCATCTGAGGTCCTCTCTGCATTTAAAAGCACAATTAAAAGGGTATCTATAGTCAAAAACTAAAAATAAATATGTATTTCTAATGTATTTCTATATTGAATTTCTATCCCACTCCTAATAACCTTAGCAATCTAGAAGTTTGTAAACTTTCTTATTAAAGATGCCCATAGGATGTACTTTCTCAATGCAGTGGCACAATTTCACTCAGGCCTGTAAATATGGACTTCCTTGTGCCACATCCCTCGCAAAGCCAGATTTCTGAACCACAACTGAACTCTTTCACCTTCTGTCGCAAAGAACAAAGGAAACGCCCACAATGTAACATCATCACTGCTTTATGGAAGCAATGCATGATAGGATATGTAGCCTTTAGAAAATGAGATTCATGAAATCAAGCAGCAGGGAAAGAGTTGCAAAGCACACTGGGACTCCAGAAAGCTTTTGGCAGACGGAAGGCAGCACTCATTACAAAAAAAAAATTGATTTTTTTTTTTTCAAGAAAGCTTTGATTGTATTATCAAAAAAAACAACTCAGTATGTATTCCTTTTACAATGCTGATGTTATAACAGGATAGTATATGGTGGGACTCCTTTAAGGAATAACATAAAAAAACAGCTTCCCCCTTTCATACTTTGTGAAATACTACCTGCTGAAGTTTATGTCTGGGTAAGTAGAATACTCTGACTTCCCCATCTTAGCATTGCGACGAGGGTACGTGCAGAAAAATGCATTGGCCAGGAGACAAGAGATTTGTTCCTGCGACATGGTGATAGAATGATTCATTTTTTTCTTCAGCAATGGGATAGGCTACAACAGAAACAAAAATGGTTAAAAGAGGTTTAGTTTGACATGTTGCAGATTGACAATCAATAAAATAATAAAAAAAACCTTGGTGCTATTGATCGCAATGACCTGTCAAGACCATTGCTATAAACTTAAATTAGAGTTCATAAGAAAATCAGATATGTTATTGCATAACAATGTCAGGGCAGAAGCTTTGTGTTTATTTTAAGGTTTATAAAAATAAAATGCTTATATTCAATACAATGAATTACTTTAATTTCATTCTAGAACACAAAATAGCCCAAGTTCAGGATTCTTACACATTTTAATAAAAACAAAAGAAGCAGTTTAAAAGAATAGAGATCATGTAAATTTTGCAGCACAAATTCCCAAATACCTTTGCACGATCTATTACCATATCAGCCTATATTTGACTTAAAAGATCTACAATACTGTGCAGGAAGCAGCTATTCATAAAGCAAAAAGTGTATGCATCATCCGCTACAGGTAATATGTGGAACTGCATGAGTCAATTTTTTTCCCCAGTTAGAGTTGCTTAGGAAAATATGACCCAAAATATAAGATTCAGCCAAACATATTTATCATCAAGTGCGGCTCTATTTATACAGAGGAGCATTTTCATAAAGCAGCAAAAAGGAAGGGATTTAGATATACTGTATATACATCAATCAGCCATAACATTATGACCACTGAGAGGTGAAGGTGAGGTGAGAGGTGAAGTGAATAACATTGATTATCGTGTTACGATGGCACCTGGTAGAGGGTGGGATATATTAGGCATCAAATGAATATGTTGTATCTGAAGTTCATGTGTTTGAAGCAGAAAAAAAATGGGCACGTGTAAGGATTTGACGATTTTGACAAGTGACAATTAGTAATGGCTAGACGACTGGGTCAGAGCAACTCCAAAACTGCAGCTGTTGTGGGATGTTCCCAGTCTGCAGTGGTCAGGCCCAATGAAGGAAAATGCGTGTCGCACACCTGGTGAAGCGATGTCACCAGGTTTAACTATTGGAAGAAGGCAAGCTGGCAGAGGTAGTGTGATGCTGTGGGCAAGGTTCTGCTGGGAAACCTTGGGTCCTGCCATTCATGTAGATGTTACTTTGACATGTACCACCTACCTAAACATTGTTGCTGATCAACTACAGCCCTTCAACTGCCTTGACGGGCCAGGGCAGTTTTGGCAGCAAAGGGGGGACCTACTAAATGTTAGGTGGGTGGTCATACTGTTGCCCAAGCCGTCCAATCAGGAAGCCGGGCGCCGTCTAATGACGCGACGCCCTGCCAAGAAGCCCCCTATGTAACCAACTTACATGACAGGTCCTCTTTATGGAGACATCAGGGGTCTCCAAGACCCCTGTCACCTAGGGACCCCCAGAGAAGCTGATGAAGCAGAGATCAGCTTCATCAGCTTCTGTCACAGAGCTGTGCCGGTCCCGGCCGCATCGGGCACAGCGGATCTTAGGACCAGCAATGGGAGTGATAGCAGCTAATACAATCGATCGAGCGACTCTGGAGACACCCGATCGCTTGAATGTAAAGATTCAGAAGCTGCTCGTCGGGCTCCACCGTCCTCTTGTCGCAGACGAGTGGATTTTTCAAGCCCTGTGATATAGAAGGGAGCTGTAGATTCAGTATACTAAAATGTTTTCTGCATGGCAACTAAGGTACCATCTTTCACTCCCAACTGTTCATCCATTGCTTCGCTCAGTAGATCTCCAGGAGTACTGCAAAACATACACTTATAACTTCCTCATCAGTTCCCCAAAACACATTAAATATATATCTGGCGAACAGATATTTTTTTTTTTTGTCAATATTTCTGAATCAGATAATAGAAAAAAACAGAGTGAATGGGAAAAAAAAAATCAATTGTCTTTAGAGTAGATCATTCACTATCAGTGCTCCGATTAGACACCTTCTGACCTGTTCATTTATCTCCATTACAGAATTTACAGGGTTATCAGACTATAGTATGTACCGAATGACCATCTAAACCACACTATTTTACCATCTTTCAGTCAGTCGGTATAAACAAACATTTCCCAGAAGTGTTAGAGGAGCCTCTAACCTGCAAAATCTTAAATCTAAAATAAAATTATGCCCACAATACGAATAGTTTGATGGTCACTTTTATTTTTTTTTACCTCAGTGGATAAATTCTGGTCAGGGCACTGCAAAATACTCTCGTCCCCTTTGTGCCACTGACAGCTATTCTCTATGTTACACAAAAAAAACCCACAGCTTTCAGCATGAAGGAGGATGGAAATGAATAATGTGGCCACACTATGCACTATTGGTGGGACCTTCCAGTCACGTTCTGGTCTCTCTATACACCATATGCGCTTTGACGGATCAATATAATCTTTCTAGTGTTGCTGTAATGCCCGAACCCAGAGCAGTGAACATGAGGTTCTAGCAAAACCCCAAGAACTCTAACTCAGTGGTTGTAATTACAGCAACTAGTTGTTTCACAAAAAACAGGACTATGACTGTCAAATGATCCGCATTTGAATACACTTAATGAGGATCTAGGTTTCAAGGGAAAAAGACACAAGTAAATAATGATAGGGTTTGCATTTACGTGACCACTTGCACTGGAGGGAGGTGTGAAGTGTTTACTCCTGGGGATATTGAGAGAACCAGACTCGAGGTGGAACATGAGTAAGAAGACAAAAGAGGAAGAGGGAATAAACGAGCGGGGAAAAAAAAGGGAGAGAGAAAGTCTCGTCTCCAGGGCCAGCCACAGTCTCTATCACCGCCTCTTTCACCACTGTGGTTTTGGGGGGTCCCCCGCTCTTCTGGGGGACCCGAGGCCACAGCAAATTAGTTCAGAATTCAGAGCAGGGAGCTGAGTGGAGAATGTCCATTCTCCGCTCTGCTCCATGTGAACACAGACAGGAGAGCTGTACTCGCAGCCTTCCTGTCTCAGCTGTCACAGGAGATCATGCTAGAACTCCTGTATTGGAAGTGACAGGTTCCTTAAAGAGAACCCGTCACCTCAGAATGCTATCACACAGGGGCTTGTTAGCTCCTGTGTGATAGCAATAAAATTAAAGTGACATTTTTATTTTAAAAGAGTGAAATAAGTTTAAAAAAACGATTAAAGTAAATAAATAAAAATTAAAAGAATAAAAAATGAAAAAAAAAACAATGCTCGCCGCTGCTTACGCCACGCCCACGTCGGTTAAGCCACTCGCGCCTACGCTGGTATACCCGCTCACCGCTGCCCGCCGCTTACGCCACGCCCACGTCGGTTGAGCCGCTCACGCCTACGCTGGTATACCTGCTCACGCGGCGCCGCTTAAGCCACGCTGAGGACATGCGTCTGGCCCTCTCCTCCCGGTGAGCTTCGTCGTTCAAGGTAAGTCGAGATCGGCCGGGAGCTTTTTAAATGTTTCCCGCGTGTTTTATTTTTAAAGCGGCACACTGCAGAACATTAGTAGCTATAGAGGAACACCAAATCCCTGCAATAATACATTAAACAGCCTGTATAATGTATTATTGCTAGGATTTGTTGTTGTAGTTGTTCCTCTATAGCTCCTAATGTTCAGCAGTGTGCAGCTGTATCACAGAAGCGATCTGGCGACAGGTAAGTCGCCAGGATCGCTTCTGTTGTAAAGCCGACAGTCGGCTCTACAAGTTTAAACAAAGTCCCGGCGGCAAAAGTGGCCGGGAGTCTGTTTAAACAGCCCCGATGCTGGCGACGTACACTGTATGTTGTCAGTCACGAAGGGGATCCTACCAAATCTACCTCCTCATTCTTCTCTCATTCATTTGGTATAACAATTACCAAAAATGTCTCTCAGCCTCTTGGCTATTAGCTACACAGCTCTGTTTATTGGCCATTCACCTATAGATTTTCTATGGTCAGATGGAAAACGTGCAACAGATTCCTCCATCTATGCTAAACTGTGTGGATGAAGGAATCTCCCACTGGGCCAAGCTTGTATACAGGTGAAACTCGAATAATTAGAATATCGTGCAAAAGTTCATTTATTTCACTAATGCAACGTAAAAGGTGAAACTAATATATTAGATAGACTCATTACATGCAAAGCAAGAGATAGTTCAAGCCGTGATGTGTCATAATTGTGATGATTATGGCTTACAGCTCATGAAAACCCCAAATCCACAATCTCAGAAAATTAGAATATTACATGCAATCAATAAAACAAGGATTGTACATAGAACAATATCGGACCTCTGAAAAGTATAAGCATGCATATGTACTCAGTACTTGGTTTGGGCCCCTTTTGCAGCAATTACTGCCTCAATGCGGCGTGGCATGGAAGCTCTCAGCCTGTGGCACTGCTGAGGTCTTATGGAAGACCAGGATGCTTCAATAGCGGCCTTCAGCTCTTCTGCATTGTTCGGTCTCATGTCTCTCATCTTTCTCTTGGCAATGCCCCATAGATTCTCTATGGGGTTCAGGTCGGTCGAGTTTGCTGGCCAATCAAGCACAGTAATCTCATGGTCATTGAACCAGGTTTTGGTGCTTTTGGCAGTGTGGGCAGGTGCCAAGTCCTGCTGGAAAATGAAGTCAGCATCCTCATAGTCTGCGGAAGGAAGCATGAAGTGCTCCAAATGTACAAGACAACAGAAGGGCAACAGTGCAGTGTCAGATTCCTCGCATCACCTGTCAACATCTCGTGGAGTCACAAAGCGGTCCAATGAAGTAATCTCGTGGAGTCATCTCGTGGCCCAACGAAGTACTGATGGGGTGGTCATAATAATCTGGCCACTCAGTGTATACATACATACTGCATTCAGAAAGTATTCAGACCCCCTTCACTTTTTTCAATTTTGTTATGTTGCAGCCTGATAGTACAATTGTTTAAATTCTTTTTTTTCTTCTTATTCTACACTCAGTACCCATAATGATAAAGTGAAAACAGAATTTTAGAAAGGTCTGTGAATGTATTAAAAAGAAAAAAACTGACATATAATCACATTGGCACAAGTATTCAGACCCTTTGCAACAACACTTGAAATACTGAGGC